CATGGAAGATGTGTTGTTGTAGTTACGTTATTTGCAATACCGGTAATATTTCTCTTTTGTTTTCGGAGGCTGAATTTGGGCTTTATTGGGAGAGAGAAAAACTTCGTATTCCCCCTTTTCTTCTCTCTCTCTCTCTCTCTCTCTCTCTCTCTCTCCGCTGTTGTAACTTGTACGTACGTCTTTGAGATTGTCATCGGAGTGGAAGGTTACGGGAATTGAAATTATCGCAGCGCTCTTTCTGGGATTAATCGAAACGGAGGATTCGAGCTAGGGTTCCGGCGATGGGAGTTGCCTGATGGGTTCGGTAGGGAATTGGGAATTGGTTATTGGGTATTGGGAATGTTGATGGAGATTGGTGTTTGTTCTGAATTGTTCTAGTTCCGATCTCTCTAGGGTAGGGGTTGAATCAAGGGGTTGAGAGGGAAATGGAAGTTGATTCGTCTATGTTGTCCGAGGTCGATCACGATCTGGCGCAGGACCACAGCACGCCGTCGTCTCCTGCGGAAATGGAGGGAGACCAGGATGGGGAGCAGCCTCCTGGGGGGAATGGATCTTCAATTCAGTCGCCTGCGTCTGCGACATCCCAACAACAACACCAGTCTACGCCGCAGGTTCAGCAAATCCCAGTTGTGGGGCCGAGACATGCGCCAACATACTCGGTGGTCAATGCGTTAATGGATAAGAAGGAAGATGGCCCAGGGCCGCGCTGCGGCCACACCTTGACTGCCGTCTCCGCTGTCGGTGAGGAGGGGACTCCTGGATACACAGGGCCCAGGCTAATCTTGTTTGGCGGTGCCACTGCTCTCGAGGGCAATTCTGCATCTGCAGGGACTCCTACGTCCGCTGGAAATGCTGGAATCCGTATGTTTTTCCTTTTCATTTACTTTTTGGATGCCTCCCCCCCTTCCCAGTTGGTAACTTAAGCAAAATACTTCTGCGCTGGAATTGCTTGGTGGTAATACCATCTGCAATATGATGTTCTTCTGCTTGCTTAGTTTGAATTTGAATTACTTCGCTGCTCTTAGCTTATTCCAATACTCGACTTGCAAACCTTTTTTTCTACTTAAAGGTTATGCAGTTTTCCAGTTTTATAGAAACGTTTGAGATACAATCTTATGAGAACATCTGACTTAATTTTCATTGCGTGGCTACGAACTTTTATGATTTGTAATGATTCTCTTGCATGCCTAGGTGTAGGATGGATTTCTTATCCTCTCCACTTAAGACGTATGTGCTTGCAACCATTATAATATATTGCTCTTTGTCAGTTTGGTCCATGAATCCTTTTTGATATTGACACTACGTAAATGATGTTTATTCTTCAACCTCCCTAACCTCTCTTCTTATCAGAAATCTAACTAACCTCTCTGAAATTTTATTTAGAATTTGCTGAACCAAAGGATGATCAATAATTAATACGTTTGTTAATTTATTCAGGATTATGTGGTTCTTTAGTGGCAATCTCTAATGTTTTCTCTTTTATTTTATTTGATTTTTTTTGACAATTTTGTGCCACTAAATGAGCAGGATTAGCTGGTGCCACTGCTGATGTGCATTGTTACGATGTTTTAACAAACAAATGGTCCAGGTAAGCATTAGAGGGAGTTATTTTATGACCAACTCATTCTTTTTTACTTCTCATGAATTACTTTAGTCCATGGATTATTTTTTAGGGTTACTCCACTTGGAGAACCACCCACTCCAAGGGCTGCACACGTGGCAACCGCTGTGGGAACAATGGTAGTTATTCAGGTATCTTGCTGTCATTAATCCCACTTAAGTTTTCATCACATACAGAATCGTATTTTTCTATTTTCAATGTTATAATTTATTTAGGCCCCTTTATTTCAATGTAGGGTGGAATTGGCCCCGCTGGTTTATCTTCTGAGGATCTTCATGTTCTTGACCTCACACAGCAACGTCCAAGATGGCATAGGTTAGAATTTTGTAGATATTCATGCTTCTTGTTTGATTTTTATTTTTTAGCTTACTAATAGATAGTTCCTATCCTGTAGGGTTGTTGTGCAAGGTCCAGGCCCAGGGCCACGTTATGGACATGTAATGGCTTTGGTGGGACAAAGATATCTCATGGTAGTTGGCGGCAATGATGGCAAGTAACTTTTGTCTTATTTTAAATGAATGTAGTTGTGTTATTGTATATCATTCATTCTTTCTTGAGAAGCTCATTGCTTTGTTTGGCTATTATTTTTGAAAAGGCACACAAGCCTTTGAGTCAAGATAACATAGAATATATCGCGTGTACAAGGGTTATAATGTGACTTCCTTATTCATTATGTGAATCCAAAGGTTGGGAAGGAGAGTTCCCATCTGTTGGCTTGGTTTGGTTTCATTGGGTTGCTTAATCTTGTAGTATGTGGGAGCATGTATTTGGCATGTTTTTACCTGGGCAATGGGGTTATGAGAACCTTGTGCCTTGTGAGTGGGCTGTTGAGAGCATACCAACAAGAGTTGTGGTGTAAGATATTTCTGTATTGTCCAACCTTTGTAAAGAATCTTGGGAGTGTTAGAGGTTGACTAAGAGGATTTTTGAGTTACGTGGATACACAGATACATTTATATTACTATAAGCTTAATTTAAGAGGCTATAGCAAGTGCATGATACTTTACCCTTATATAGGATGCCAAGAAACATGTTTAGAAGGTTTTTCCTCCTTTTCTTTTTAACAAACAAATTGAAGTATCACAAATTTCCAGATTTACTCGTTCATTCTTGTTGTTGAGTGCCCATTGTTTCATAATTTATCTTTAATATTTTGAAAATGTATCCAAGATGCTTTGGAACTGTTCAAAATGGGATGCATGGTTTTAGATGGAGCACAAGTAACATAAACCTATTATTGGTGTTTAAAAACCTACTGAAGAAACCTAAAGATACGCCCTTTAGGAATGTTGCAAGAAAGCATCCAACAAGAATTTCTTTAGAAATATAATTGCTTTGTTTCTTGGAAAAAAAATAGAGAAGAAAAAGGAATTTCTTTAGGAATAGTATAAGAAAGTATCTCGCGCCCAAGGGACAGTCTGGTTGGCAAGGGCTTGGGGTCTCTTGGTCATATTGACTTAGAAGTCTAAAGTTCGAACCTTCCGGTGAGCTTAATACCAAAAACCTTTCATGTCTCTCGGGTTCGGGCGTAGGTGTCCACTTAATACCAAACACCTTTAATGTCTCCCAGGTCTAGGCCTTGGGGCGGTGCAGGTGCCCCCAGGTGCAGGGGAGCGAACTTCGACTCCTTGTTATATAAAAAAAAAGGTATAAGAAAGCATCTCAATAAGAATGAACTACCTTGGAAGAGTAATTGCTAAACTCTTCAGAAAAAGCATACCAAGAAACTGCATAATGTTTGATCTGTTCTAATCTTTCCTCTCAATTTACTTGTTTGCCTTACAAAATGTGTTGATGCCTTTTCGAGCAAATGAGGTAGATCCTCCCCTGCTTTGAGCTCAAAATACAACTACTCGGGGTGATTAAATACCAAGTAGGGCTGTTTTCTTCGAATTTTTTTAGTCATATTTAGACCTTCCATGAGGACTAGCCTCTCAAAATATTCACTTTTGTTAGACTGTCTTCCACATTACAAATACATAATGCTTAGGTATGTGTTTTTTTAGATTAACACACACATATATTCAAAACAGCACCAAAAAGGATGAACAAACATAAGGGAAAAGGTTCGAGAAAACCCTCCCCAAACACTAAACAATAGCAACTTTCCAACCATTTACAGGTATGGAGCGTCAACAAATTCTTTAAGAAAGGGACTATATGGAAAATATTCCAATAGCATCTTTTGAAATCAGCACCTTCTTTATCTTCCTATCTAGTAATTGGAACGCCCTCAGATCCATTGTAAAAGCTCAGAAAGTTTACGTTTTTCCTCATCTTTGGAATTTCTTCTTGTGAATTATGATAACCTTCCATGATTTAGAATCTTCCTGCCAAGCTTAAAAAATCGACAAATCTCTTTTCTAAAAAAAAATCAACAAATCTTCCTAGAAATTTTAAAGATCTTAGGAAATCTTATGCCGAAGGCCGATTTTCCACCCACATGTGTTTTCTTTCACTATGTAAACCACCCAAAACTATCCTTCCCATAACTGTTAGCCACCATTAATGTCATAACTCATTTGGTTCATTTGGGGACCTCCATAACCATTTAATTATTATTTTGTTATTGACAGATCTTGTATAACTATTTGATTGCACTACTCAGGAAAACGGCCACTAACTGATGTATGGGCACTGGACACAGCAGCCAAACCTTATGAATGGCGCAAGTTAGAACCTGAAGGCGAGGGTCCACCTCCTTGCATGTAAGTCTTTTCCTTTCTTTTTGTTTATCATTTATATATATATGCATGCGTGCCTATAATTGTTTGTGATGCAAGAGGTACCGGGGGCTAGGTGCAAACATTATTTGGGCTTTATTTTGGGAACGAGTTGCAATCTATTATTTATTTTTTGTCTTAGAGGCATTTCTTCTCCAAATGTATTCAAATTTATGGTGAAGGAAAGATAAGAAGATAGTATGTACCAGATGGGGAGGTGTTCACAAAGTTGGAAGGTTTGGGGTGACAAGTAATCAATATATGCTCAGTGCAAAATATTTGGCCATGATCCCTGCAGGTCCTCTACAGCCGCTTCCCATTCTTGATGAAGTTTGAGAGGACATCTCCCTTGATCGATCTTAGACCTATGATACAACATTGGTGGTGGTGGTAGTGGTGGATCATTTAAACAAATACTGTCACTTCATCGATTATGCCACATTTTCACAAATGTTCAAGTGGCTAATGTGTTCGGAGATTGTGAGGTTGCTTGACATTTTTAAAAGGATGGTTTCTGACAGAGATGAAATCTTCACTTCCTTTTTTGGATCAAATTGTTTTTGCAAGGCACTAAGCTCTACAGAAGTGTTGCTTGCCACAGTTAAAGTGATGGCCAAATAGGGGTGGGGGCAAATGTTTGGAGACATATCTGCTAGGTAGCACAGACATATTAAAATGGGCATAGTGTTGGTTTTGGACATGCGTCCAACACGCTAATTAGAGCGTTTGTTTGTTTTTTTTTCTTTTCCGAACATTTGGGTGACAGAGCAGGGACACGTCCTTATGAGACCGTAGGAATTTCTTTCTCTCCCTGTTTTCTCCTCTGGTT